AACAGATGTTTGTCAACAACTAATATTTTATGTTTGCTTCATAGGTCAAATTTCCTCGGTACCAAGTTTGTAATGTATGATACCCAACCGCCATATAATGGGACAGCTTCCTCCCAACCTGGCAAAATTAGCCAGAGATTTTACTCCAGAAAGGTCTCACCAAAAGTGCCAACTGGCAGCTACAATGTAGCCCAGGTGACATATGAGCTGAATGTGCTGGGAACAAGGGGCCCTAGGCGGATGCACTGTGTTATGCACTCCATTCCTGCCTCAGCGCTCGATGCTGGTGGAACAGTCCCCGGTCAACCAGAGAATCTGCTTCCCCGCTCTCTGGAGGATTCTTTTCGGAGCATATCGTTTGCCAAATCATCAATTATGGATCAATCCATGGATGTCAGCAGTTCACATTTCTCAGACATTACTGGAGGAGCTAGAGTGGCAGATGCTGAAGACGACGAGGCCAAGGAGAGGCCTCTGATTCTTCGTAACAAGGCTCCCAGGTGGCACGAACAGTTGCAGTGTTGGTGCCTAAATTTCCGGGGGCGTGTGACTGTGGCCTCAGTCAAAAACTTCCAGCTCATTGCTGCGATACAACCATCTGCAGGGGTTCCAACTCCATCACAGTCAGTGCCACCAGAGCATGACAAGGTCATACTACAATTTGGAAAGGTTGCAAAGGACATGTTTACCATGGATTACCGGTACCCATTGTCAGCCTTCCAGGCCTTTGCCATCTGCTTGAGTAGCTTTGACACCAAATTGGCTTGTGAATAGAGAATGGCTTGGAAGAAGAACCAATATCTGGTACCAGATTCGGGGGCAAAAATCTGCTCTTAATGTATGTTATCTGTTCCTGCTTTTAATGCCATCACTCTGACTCAATTAACTGTTATCCATTCTCTGCTCATCTTTGTTTTTCTTTCCAAGTTTCAGCTTCTGTAACAGCCTTTCCATGTGGTAACCAATGAATTTTATTGAGTTCACATGTTTATGGCTATGCCTTCTGTGGCCAGCCTTTTCCTATTCAATCCACAAATTTGTCTGGTCCCCTCTAATTTTTTCTTAATAGTTATCTTTTCTTAATCTGAAATGGATGGTTGTTTGAGGGCCTGATGCTGAAGCAAAGGCTGTCAATTATTAAATAGTTATCTTTTCCTGTCATTTCCCGGTTATTATAGAAACTGAGGCCGCAGGCAGGGCATCCATGATGAGAGAGATTGTACAGTATGGTGAAAGTGTTCTTGCAGGATGTATGAGAGAGATATATGTTTCTTCAACTCATCTTTGTTGAAACTGCTGATCATGTTATAAAAAGCACAGGGAAATGAACTGTACATTCAACTTAAAAAGTATCAAAGTACATGACATGTGATTATGAGAAGAAGAATGGGCAACCTCAACATTTGCTACCTAAATTAGTCCAGGAAGAACAAGTGAGCTCCATATGCAAATGGTTTAACCTATTAAATCTCATTGGAGATTTAATAGGTTAAATCTCCACAGAAGAAGAACATTGGAGAGAATCCAGCTGTCATCCTTTACCCATTAAATCAAATCAAGCCAATCAAAATGAAACAGGAGTGATAGATAGAGAATTAAGTTGATCAAACAAATAAAACATCTGGTTATCGTAACTTGATCATCAAATCAAACATAGATCCACTAATCGCCTACTAAAAGTTTGAGCAGGATAGAAAGATCAAACAATTGGGGTACATGTGCCACTTTCTACCAAGTTGGTATGTTCACAGTAAAGAAAAGAATGAAGAAAACTGAGTTGGAGCAAAAACATGAACTATAATCAATGGAAGCATCATTTTAACAAGTCTGAACCTTTCTTTTTCTGTTGACAAGCAATCCTGAATCTATAAGATCCAGATCCATCATCATCATCACCAAGAACACCACATGGTGCATCATTACATGGAAGAATCTTTATGCAGCCAGCTTTGCGCTGAGCCCTCATGATTTGCCATCGCCCTCCCATGCCAGAAAGAACCATCGTTGCTTTGACAGAGACACAGAAGTGAGCACTGCCTCCCCTGTTGCATCTTCCTGGAGGTCAAAGATAACTTAAGTCAGGGCAAAGCAGCATGAGCAGATATAGGGAGAATTAGGTGGGACACATGGATCATGAGTCATGAGGCCAAATATATTTTTCATTGGTCGCGTCAGAGAGTGCCATGGTGGGAAAAGCACTACTACGTTATCTGTGATATAATATTGCACTCATAATGTCCATTTGCTGCTCTTACGTTCTCCTCTTGTCGGCCATTAGGTGCTTCCTCACCCAACTCTGGCAATAATACACACATGAAAAAAACCGCAGAATGAATATATCTACAACTATGTTTTTAGCTTCTCCCGAGTAACAAAGGCAAAAGCTAAATTACACCTTGTCAAATAGCCTCTCAATAATGAAAATACTATGGTAAATGAACAAAGCTCTTACAGCTCTCCAAGGAAGTCATCAAAAGAAGAGAGTTTACACCCCACAAGTCCCTCCTTATAAGCCTCTGCAGGCAGATTAGCTCCTTTAACCATGTGTGAGATATTGAAAGTGTGACAAATCTTCAGCACAGTTTATAGCCTGCTGAAGTTGTAAACACTAGCAAGGACATCATGAGGCTTATGAAGAATTCATAACCTTGAAGGGTTCACACAATGAGAACCTCGTAGAGACTTAAAAAACACAAGTTTTATGCCTCACCTTTTTGTTCTCTTTTGCACACCTGATAAAAAAACATGTGCTATGGTGTAAGATGACTCAGTATTTCGTAGTATTGTATACATCTTCATCGGACATTTTCGCATCCAAACCGAATGGTCAATTTCTAATAGAGTTCTATTATATGCCACAACCCAATATCTGTCTTAACATGATTGTGGAAATATCATGTTTCATCATATTTATTATTTATATTTACTTCAGTCAAGACGACACTTAAAACATATTTGGCTTGGTAAATATGTGTATATTTCATCTCAGCACGTCTTAGTGTCAAATTATCGGTCATATGGGTGAGTCGAATGTAAGTCTGGTGAGCACCGATGATGTTACATAAAGCAAATGTTTCGAAGTGTGATATGCATCTATCTCTTGGTGTAAATGGATCAACCGCCATCAAATATGTTGCAACATATGATAAGATCACATCCTTTTTCGTCACTACAGTATTTCCTATGAATATGTTTTTGACATTGATACGCTTGGTTCTTCCATGATATTTAGGGTCCTTTTCATGAAAATTGCAGCTTGACTATTACAATGAGTGGTTACTAGTTTGTCAGCATCCTTAACTATTCCCAAGAGATCCTCCACCAAACTATTCTTTGCCCGAATTGAACAATATACAAAATTAGCTCTCATTGTCGGCAATATTATGAAATTTTATTTCTTGCAAAATTAGAACATGACAGAATTATTAAGCAAAACAAGTAGATCTATGACTATCTAGGTCCCCTGTCCAATCCACATTTACATGTGTCACTAACTATAAATTGTTTCTTGATATTAAGAATATCTAGGATTTTTTTTTTATCACCTTCCAAAGCTTTGTTCCAGGGCTGGACTTATGGCAGTCAACTAATCTTATAACATAAGCTATAGCTGGCATCGTAGACATGGTAGCATATGTTCCAATTTTAACAATACAAAGACAAGGTACTTTGCCATTTTATTCTTTCTTCTGGAGTCTTTGGACACATCTCAAAGCTTAGGAATTGATCTTTTTGCTACAGGAGTGTCAATGAGATTGCACTGTAACATTTATATATGTGTTCTACTACTTTCCAGGTCTGACATTCATGTGAAAAGTTGATAATTTTTAAGACTAATCTGTTTAGATCTTTACACTAAAAATATATGCAGCATTTTTCCTGTCTTTTATAATTTTGACAATTTGTTTATCATTCCAAACTTCTAATATGTGACTAATATACGGAGACAAGATGACAAATTTGTTCTCTTTGTATTTGATATCCACATAGTGATTCTCATTGATCATATCATGAACTTACAAGACATTATAGCTTATGTGAAATTCAAGATTTTTGAAAATTTGATACGAAGTAAATAATCGCAATCTACAAATCCTAATTGAGAGTAGTTCAAAATGTCATGTACAGATCTTACGGAGAAGCGCTCACCAGAGTATGCCTCGAAGAGGCTTTGCGATTGAGGCTGGAGCTTTTAGTACGATAAATTGCAGCATCGCAAATCCCTGCTTGCAAGTAAGGTGGCGATGACCAGACCGTCGGCACGTAGTCAGCTCACCCTCTTTCTTCCTTGATCTCGTTGGCAACGACAGTAGTCTTGTGCCATGTAACCTCCTCATCCACCTCCGGCGGGAAGCCACCACCCATGGGCGGGGATCTCGTTCCACGGCCAGAGACCAACCTAGATATCAGTACCATTGGAAAAGGGTAAACCAGAGTTCGAAACTTCAGCCACAGATTACCAATACCCATGACGACACTACTAATTAGCGTACATGGCAGTTGCATTCGAACCTAATGTTCAATAATTCTTTTCATCAATGTCTAAAACATAAATGAGCAAATGGAACCAACCAGATACCTGAATCTGATCTCAGAGAATCGGATCGTACCTCTTGTAATTTGAAATAAAGGATCAATCTTTGGTTAATTCACTCTCAGATCTGTGTGTAATCGCCTCAGGAGAAGACACTGTTCGCCATAAATCACTCTCACATCTGTGTCTAATCATTGTCGGACGACACACCTGTTAGCCACCACGCAAGACACCCCAAAGGGAAGAAGAAACCCCAAACAAGGGGAAGAGTTCAGCTCATGTAGGGTTTCCCAAAAAACCATAGTCCGTGGGCGTATCCGACCCGTTAACCCGACAAATACTCATGACGTGTGATGTGGCCCTACATCGAAGTATCCAAATCAGGAGGGAGACCTATGAGCAGGTAAACAACTGGGTAGGAAAGGAGTTTTTATTACTTTCTTCGATAGATATCCTTTGCCATCTTTCCTACCCTACCCACCACTGACGTCTCCCGTCCCCGTCTTGGGCCGGCTCTGTCAGATCCAAACAAGCCAACGTAGGAATGGGGCTCAAGGAATTCACCCTTCCCCGCCGTGCAAGGCCGAATGCCAAGCCACAAGGCGGGTAGGGAAGGGCAACCCAATTGATTCAACCTTCCCCGTGCAAGTAGGTTTTCTACTTTTGTCATCTTTTCTGTTCGACGAAAGTTCTCTGAGACAGAAGGAAGGAAGCAAAGGAGGGGGTGCTGCCGCCATGATGCTTCGCAGTGATAACAAGGTCAGGCTCCTTGATTTGGGGCGACGGTGCTTGTCGAAGGTGGTGGATCTGGCGCACCTGCCGACTCCAGTGGACCTGGGCCACCTCGACTCCGTCTGGTCGACGCCAGACCTGCTCGCGTCCTACACTGTTACACCTCCCGTCCGGCCTTGGCCCTCCCCGCTTACCAGTCGCCGCCTCGCCGCTCTCATCAGCCGCCTCAAAGACCCCCACCTCGCCCTCCGCGCCTTCCTTCACGCCGCCCGCTTCACCCCGGGATTCTCCCCCTCGTACCCTCCCTACCACGCCCTCATCCTCCGCCTCGCCTCCGCCCGCGCCTTCCCTCTCCTTCCTCCAGTCATCTCCGCCCTCCGGCGTTCCGGTCTGCGCCCTTCCGAGGACGCCTTCATCGCCCTCATCCGCGCCTACTCCCTCGCCAGCCGCCCCGCTGCCGCCCTCCGTTCTTTCCTTTCCATCCCCTCCTTCGGTCTCCGCCCGTCCGTCCGCTCCTTCAACGCCCTCCTGAACGCTATGGTCCAGAATCGCCGGCTCGACCTCGTCGCCCTCCTCTTCCGCAACTGTCGCTCTAAGTTTGGGATCATCCCCAACGTCTGCACCTGCAACATCCTCCTCAAGGCCCTCTGCAAGCTTGGCGATGTACGCCGCGCCCTCCGCGTCCTTGATGACATGCCCGGATGGGGCATTGTCCCCAACGTTGTCTCCTACACCACAATTCTCGCCTTCTACTGTGTCAAGGGCGACCTGCCCGCCGCCCGGGAGCTCTTTGATCGGATAATTGCCCGTGGCTGGACCCCAGATGTCACCACGTACACTGTCCTCATCGACGGATACTGCCGCCAGGGCCGCCTCGTCGATGCCACCAAATTGATGGATGAGATGGAGGCTGCAGGTATCACCTCAAACGACATCACCTATTCTGTTGTGATCGAGGCATGCTGCAAGGATAAAAGGTCAGGAGAAGCATTGAATTTACTCGATGACATGCTGCAAGGGAAGTACATACCAAGCTCATCATTGTGCTGTAAGGTGATTGACACATTGTGCGAGGATGGAAAGGTGGAAGATGCTTGTTGGATGTGGAGGAAGCTTTTGAAGAAGAACGTCACTCCTGATAATTCCATCTCCAGCACACTCATTTATTGGCTATGCAAGGAAGGGAAGGTCTTGGAGGCAAGGAAGCTATTCGACGAGTTTGAGAGGCGGTTTATCCCGAGCTTACTGACGTATAACACTCTCATTTCTGGAATGTGTGAGAACGGGGAGCTGCAGGAGGCAGGGAGGTTATGGGATGACATGGTCGAGAGGAGATGTTCACCTAATGTGTTCACCTACAACATGCTTATAAAAGGGTTTTGCAAAGCACGGAACGTAAGGGAGGGGGTTAGGATCTTGGATGAAATGTTGGAGAAAGGATGCCTGCCAAATAAGTCCACATTTGGAATGTTGGTTGATGGACTTCCTGATTCTGGTGATGAGGAAGAACTTGATAGGATTCTTCAAATTGTCGATTCAAGTAGAAGAAATGTTTTTGATGAGGATGTTTGGGATATATTTGTAAGGAAAGTTGTCACTGGTTCTGAGAATGTCAGAGAGCATATTTCTGCAGTACTGAAGACATAATCATTGAATCGGGCCGTTATCTTTTCTTTGAAAAGCTTTAGGTGGCATTCTATTTTGTGGCCAAACATGAGGAAATGTTTCAGTTGGTAACACAAATTTGATGTAGAAAGGGGTATCTGAAGACATTAGATCATGGCAGTATGCTAGATTTCTTCATAATCTGTCAATTCGAGTCAACAATAGTCATGAAAGATCCCATGAGGAGCCATCTTCTGGAATGGTACCCATCACTGTGGAGATTTCTTCCCAGCAGACATTCGATCGGACCATGATCAAGAGGTGATTCATGGATGGGAATATGACTTGCCTCTGACCTTGACCATTCTCAATATTGGGTTCTTTCAGCCTAACATCATGTTTAAGAAGTTCATTTAGTGGAAAGAGTGGAAATACATCATAAATACCTCTTCAATAAAATCTTTGGTTTGGGCTATTAGGAGTTGCTAAGTAGCTTGTCCCAGCTGCAGGAGCTCTGTGAGGAGAAATATGGTGATGGAGGATTACTTGTTGCTTGGAAGTACTAGTTCAGACATAAGGGAACATGACTTGTGGCTTCTTCAATTATTGGCAAAAGATAGTGATGACAACAATATAAACTTTTGTTAATTATAACTCTGTGATTTTCCTTTTAATACTTAATACAATATGACAGTACTGGGTAGGCTGGATGTCGAGATGCCTCTTTTCCTTTTGTTTCAGTAAGCATTTCTCCTATGTATTGTACATATATACTGATAATGGCTGCTAGTTAGGTGGTAGCAGCTCTTGAGGTCATGTAGAATAAATTTTTTTGACAGTTTGAGAAACGCAAAAGTGAAAATGCTGCTGAATCCATTGTGAAATCTCTTGAATGATGTTGGAGCTATTAAAAAAGGTAAATTTTGTTGCAGTATTGGTAAGGTACAATGACTGTATTTCTTTGTTAGTGACAATTTCAAACGGGGACAACAGCCAAGATGTTATTGATGCTAGAGAGCTTTTGGAGGATCTTATGTTTATAAAGGAGAGCTATGCAGATGGAAAAGGTTAATTATTTTGACCACTGATCCAATGTCTCAACTCAGGTGCTTTTTTCTTATATCCTTTTCTGGCTAAATTAGCCTTAATAATATTATTATTTTTTACTTCTTTAAGCGGACTCTTTCATCTAGGAAAGAATGGTTATGACACAATTTTGTTCCTGTTCCAATAATACTTCTGCATGCATATTATTTTTTGTGTGATAAGGTTACTACTGTGCTTGAATCAGCGATTTATTTGTTGCCTTTGTATTGAGTTCAGATGAAATATAAATTGATTTTTTAAAGTGCCAGAATAGTTCTTTATCGTCTTTTTTGGAACTTAAGACAGTCAATTTGTTCGGATGATATTGCATGGCAACTATGCGCTATTATTCTGTGCCTTAGTTTTATGCCAGATTAGAAATGTTGTTTGAGTCCTCTGTCTTGTTAAGATTCAGAAGCTCTTTTAGTACCTTGAGCTTATATTTGAGGAAGAGGTTGGCCAGGGTATGAAATTCCCATCAATGTGGAGTTCGAGGAGGGCTAACTATTCCCATGAGCAGAGTCTAACTCCATAGTTGAATTCTGTTCACCCAAGTCATATAAGAGCAATCCTAGCATCACACCAATTAAAGAATTTTCAGAAGAGCAGGGTCATCATGGATGGCCACACAAGAAGTCAGGATTATAGTGTGCTTTGGTTCTCTCTGTTTGACTGTATATATGCACATTTTGGTGGAGCATTGTCTAGAAAAGGAGTCTGAATAAGATTTAACAATGTTGCTCCTAACTCTGTAATCATGCTAAGGTCTGTTTTATTGGCATTTTATTGCCAAAACATATATGAAACCAACATAGACTCTTGATTTCACAGCTATACACATTGTTTTTTTTTTACTTTATTGTTAATTTTGTAGCATCATTAGAAAAATTGTCATTATTTTCTAACTGCATCAAATTTGAAGAATGCTATTAGAAATGGAAGCTATGAGTAGCATCTTCTATACTGATTCATTCCATTTGTTGTTTTGAATATTTTGTACAAATGTCTGTAGATTATTATTTTGTGTTTAGTTGGTTTATATTTAATTAAGTGATATACTATTTCTTAAATGATGTAAACCATATTAAATACTGTATTAGCAACACATACATCCAGCTTATATTAAGGTGCTTTCAAATATTTAGTAAAATTTTCAAAATATAATCTCATTTTCAGATTTTTTTTGTTTGCATATTTTGATTATAAAATGTGTCAAGATACAGTCAATTTTTTTAAAAAATAATATTTAATTATATTATGGTGTGAAAAGTATTATAGGAAATGACTCACTTTGGTTGTATATTTCTCTAAAAGTGGTATAACTGGTCTGTATTTTTTAAATTGATTTGTATTAAATAGTTGTTATTTAGCAATATATATATATATAATTTGTAAAAAATGATTTCCTAATTAAATCATTTTAGGTCTTGAAAAGTTTAAAATATCATCTGCTGTTCATTTATAATAAAAGATTTATGTGTTTTGATTGATTCACTTATTCAACCAATGAATCAATGAAGCAAGAATCTACGAGTCCCTTGAGTTTGTCCCTATGATGAGAAAAGTCTACTCGAGTTGCTATCGATAGAAAAAATTCAAGCTACGACTATAATTTGTAGAGTTTAGTTAGATAAAAGCTAAAGAGAGCACCTTTCGTGAAGTATTCGAATATTGAAAATAATATATATCGTATACTGAAATTTAATGGGTAAAATATGTTGCTTTTCCACAGATATATAGAATTTTCTTTATTTTTGGATCCCGCGTCTGATGTATGGGATCCTCACATGGATTTCGTCGTCGTTGGGTCAACATAAATAATTCTTGATATATATTTCTCTATATATATATATATCATAATTCGAAATTTATATTGATATTATTTTTATTTTTATTTCCTAACATTGAAGTATTTGTGGATGGCAGTTTGGCGAATATCGACAAGGTTTGGGTCAGTTTATCAAAGGGATCTTTATATAGTTGTTAGACTCACCGTTTCGGCTAGGGTTTAGGCTTGTGTCTTTTGGTTTCTTCCTCCCTCACCTGCCGCAGTTTTTGTTTCTTCGTTTCTCCGTCGGATCTAATTTCATTTTCTGAAGAGCCAGATTTTGATCTTCACATTCTATCTTTGATTCCATTCTTGTTCTAAAAGTAAAGAAAATTGTTTTTGTGGTTATGGCATACTTGTTTACGTATTTATCTAGACATTTTAGGATCCATTTACAAATGGATTTCGTGAATAGGTTCCACTAGATTTGATGTGGTTTTGATTCTTTTCTCTCGCTTCTTATACATTTTCGTTGATGTGGCTCTTGCTCTTCTTTTGTCATAAAAAATAAAGAAAAACATGTTATTTTGCTTGGTTATTGCTTGATTTGTTTGTGTGTTTATCTACAAGTTTTGCGATTCATCACTCAATGGATTCTTCGAATAAGTTTTAATGGATTCTGTTGATGTGACTTTCGATTCTTTTTGCTAATATCTTTTTTCCATTTCTATTGATGCCCGATGATGGAAAATCTAATAATCTTTAGAGGCTTGTGGGTTTTCAGTGTTGAGCATCGACGCATGCCGCTTCGTCACCTCATTGTTTTTGTTGACGATGATCGTTATCATCATCATCATCATCATCTCCTTCTTCTTCTTCTTCTCCTCTTTTTCCCTTTATGCGTGCGTGCGAAGGTGCTCCATATGAAAAGCCATACATTGAGCCAGTGAATGCAAAAAGCTATGAGATCTGAGGGCTATTAAGCACCTAAATGATTTTTTTACATTAGAAAAGATTATTTCTGGGAAAATTGTAGTGCTGCCTGTTGTACTTTAATTTCAGCAAGGTCTGCTTCTTTTTCAAGCAAACTGCTCTGAAAATGACAGTATGATTTGTAATATGCGTTAGGCAGTCCGATCATGGCTTTACCTGTTCTCTCGTTTGTTTGTCTGAGGCAGCTTCTGGATCGCTATTGTATCCCTTTGTTCTTATCCTGTTACTAGCATTGACGTCGGATTGGTAAGAACATGACTGCTCTGTTCCTCTTATAACATTCATACTCTATTTAGATTCATTTGCTTTATCAACAACTTTATTGTTTGGAGCCATGACATTTTAATTGGTGTTATTTTTATAGTACTTGATTAATCATAAGGTGATTAAACTCACGACAGATTATGCATCAGACAATGTTGATGTTCAATTCTACATTTATGTTTGACACATGGTCATGCTTTATAACAACTTTTTCTTGCTTGAATGTTTTATTAATATGCTTCTTGTTTAGCTCAGTAAATCACTATGATCACTTTTGTGTATGAAGTGCTCTATGCAAACACTTCAATCTTTGCTCTGTTATCAGTGTCAATATTCAACCATCAGTCTGCGCTAACCAATGTCGTGATACTATGGGCCAATTAGTGCCCCACTGTGTCAACATTCAAGTATGATAAGGTTAGCTGAGTGATTTATGCTGTTCACTAGTTTGGTGATGCATGATATACCTGAATTCAATAGCAGTTTTATGAATGATTAGTTGGTGTTTGTTGATTATTTACCATGATACTGTTTTTTTGTTTGTGCCATGTTGGAAATTTTACGAGGCCCAATGATGGAAACCAATTAATTTTGAGCTGCTACATGGCTATTTCTTTTGAGCATTATTCTACATGCTTTCATCTTGTCATCACCACCACCACCACCATCGTTGCCACCACCATCTCCACCTCCCTGTCCATCACTGCTGCCATTACTATCATAATCATCATCGCCAATTCATTGTCATTTATGCATGTGAAATGCTCATCAAGAAATACCATGACTTGAGCTGCCATGAACTTTTATAGCTATGAGATCTGAGGGCCTCAACGATGTTAGTGTTTGAATTTTATTATATAAGAATCCTGAGTATCCTAGCTGAAGAATCCATGGACCTTGTGGCACCTCTCTCTATAGGGAGCCTTCTGGGGTCATCACCATGGATGTCGCTAGAGTCTAATGCGAGTATTAGGATCACTTTTCTATTATTTGCCCAAAGTCTTTGTATAACTATTACCTTGAAATTTATTATGTTTTTTGGTGACATTTATGCATGTATTTGTTGCCAATGTGTATTTTTGTGACATTTATGCATGGATTTGATGCCAATGTGTTCTTTGTAATGCTTCTCAGCTCCTAACAAAATTCTCAACGTTTAAAACGCCCTTGGAAGGAAACGAAGTTGTGCAGAGCGACTTGATCGTATGGTTTTGATGCTTGTTGGTTGTTCTTTCTTGCTTTTTTAGTGATTCTGGTAGATATTGCTAATAGATCTTATTGTATTTGTACATGACTGACATGGTGAATTTTAGAAATCAAGATGTCCATGAATGTCTTCAGTAACGTAATTGTGTTCCACTACTAGTGCAATAGCCTACTATCGTAATAGGAAATGGAAGGATAAATTTTGTATCACAACAGAGAAGATTATTGTTGAATGTAGTGTTTATGTACCAATTTTTTTTTAAATTTTTTTTTCAAGAACCAAAGTAATTTGTTTGAGTATGCAAAGATTAAAATAGATTGTAAAGCTATTTAACTGTTTGTGTCGTGCAATTTATAGGGTTCTCGTCTTATGCATGTGAAGGGGCTCATTATAAAAAGCCATTTATAAATAATTAATTTTAAATAGATAATATTTGAATAATTAATTTTAAATGGTTAATTTGATCCTTCAATGTTTATGGAAGATTTTTAAATTTTTTTTAAACTCATTTCATTTAATTTTTAAATTACTTTACATGATCCTTAAGAAGGTCAATTAATGTTTTAT